CTCTCTCTCTCTCTCTCTCTCTCTCTCTCTCTCTCTCTCTCTCTCTCTCTCTCTCTCTCTCTCTCTCTCTCTCTCTCTCTCTCTCTCTCTCTCTCTCTCTCTCTCTCTCTCTCTCTTCCTGAGAGACGAATGCGCTCGTTTCACGAACGCGTATTCTTCGGGGAGTCCATTACGCTACCCAACACAACCCACCGCAGGATAACACGTTACAACGACGGATTCTTATTGTCTTGCGGGTTCCAAAACGATCAACGGCACTTGTTTCGGATCCAGACGCTGTGTTTTTATATTTTTAACGCGACATCTAAAGTACATATCTTATTTTCCTCATTTTGCTCGCCTGTTGCTCAATGCATCTAATAAAAAGGGGCTAAATATAAAGTTTTATTTCAAAAAAAAAAAAAGAAAGATTATTCTTAGAAATTTCATAATATCGGGCAAGCTAAAGTAATTATTTATCGAATTATTTAATTTGTCTCACTTTTTCACTTTTTAATTTTGTTTTACTTGCTCGTCGCTTTATCAAGATTAAATATACGAGCAGTTTCATTTTGAGGAAAGAGGTTATTTTTAAAATAACTTAATAATAACTTATAGTAACTTACAAAAATATTCTGTTTTTTTCTTCTTGTTCTAATATTTTTAAACAGAAATTGTTCTTTAAAAAATGTATATAATATTATATTATATTATATTTCAATGGTATTGAGCAATCTAAAGTTAAATAATTATTTATCAGATTATTTAAAATTTGTTTCATTTTATTTGCTCATTGTCAAAATATACATTGTATATATTTTATATATTTTAAAGTTCTTAGGGTACGGATTTCTGAAGATCAACAGTGGCTTTTCAGATGTATACATTTAAAATATAATTAAACATTTTTATTAACTTTTGATTAATTTCTTTATTAATATTTTATTAGGCTACTTGTACATGTTCTCAACTTTGTATTGTTAATTTATGTCATAAATTTCAAATTGTGATTGAATCCTAATCTTCAATTTGGGAAAATAAAAATTATATAAAAATTATGTAAAATTATACAATCTAAATTAGATAGACAAGTTAAAATAGTAATTAAAATATAATTAAAATAATAATTAAAATATAAAAAATTTAAAAAATCTAAAAACAATACATTTTAAATACATATTTTGACATTATTTATTTAACAGCTTTATTATAAGAGGATTTGACTTTGTTCAATATGAATTTAATATAAAAATTTTTAAATTTAAAATAACGGACCTAATATGCCAGCTTCATAATAAAAAATAGATAAATTTTTACCAAGAGATAAAATGCTTTTAAGTTGTTGAATTCAAATATGATGGCAAATTTCGACAATTATAAATAATATATTTAAAAAATAGATTGTCCTTTATGTGTTATAATTAGAATTTGCTGTAATTTACAACAGTGCAGAAATGCATAATAAATGCAAAATAGCAAGAAGTTTCTATAGTATCTCAATATTATTTTTATTTTTTTCTATGTTTTCTACATTTGTTTTATTTCTTATTCGTCAGATTCGAGAAAAAGAAAAATGATTTAAGGCATATAATTAAATTGAAGGTTATTTTTTTGTATAATAGCGAATTTCAATAATAGCGAATTCGATTGGCGCACAAGTGCCAACTGAGTGCTCCCTCTCTCACTTCTATCAACATTGGTAAAACGAGACAGACGACACTCAGTGCGCCCAATCGAATTCGCTATAATTATTTATACCTTCTTATATTTTGATATGACAACCGTGTAGAATAAATTGATAAACTAATAAGATACATGATATACATTAATAAATAGTAAAGTGAGCAAGTAAAGCAGGTCATTTACAAGTTTCTATTTGAGAGTGGATATAACTAACCAGTAATAACGTATTGATAAATCGGCCAGAGTATGGAGAGACAGACGTAGAAATTATTTATTACATCAAAAATAGAACGGTGCCATTATAATGGCTTTCCATGGTTCAAAAGTTTTTATTTTTTTAGTGCCTTTATACATTATTTTGTGTCTTAATTTTAATATCGACCGAGACATCGTTTTTCCAATGCACATAAACCGATTAACAATTTCTAAAGTTACAGTTAAATTATTTTATTTTTCTTTGCGTAGCTTTGTCTTTTCTGTACTTTTTTTTATGTAATTTCTTGAACAGATCGCTTTCCATTTTTAGATATATCATACATATCGATTTTCTTTCAACGTCGGTGTTTTTTTTTTTTAAATTACTTCACTACTACGTCTACGGTAAGCGGAGTAAAAAAAAATATATGCTTCGCGAAATCTTCGACTTACCGGGACACCCTGTGCTGCGCTATCCTGCCGTGACTGGGTAGTGTCATGTTGCTGTCACTTTTCGACCAAGTGACAGAATTCTTAGCATCGGGCAGATCGACCTTGCCGAGATAGGCCTCGCAGAAGAGCCTCGCAGTGCCTCCCAGGGGCACCAGCTGCGAGGTCGGTCTATAAGTGGGCAAAGGTTTCCCAGTGTAGACGCCGGACTCCTCATCTGAAATTCAGATTACGGTGAATATAAATTATAATATCTATAAATGCATGTGTGGGGGGGGGAGGGGGGTTTTTTATGCGCTCAAATCGACATATATAAATATATGAGTAATGCGTGCGCATTACTCATTTGCACGTTTGTCTAGAAATTTAACTCGCTGTCTTATCTTCGGTGGTATTTAATAGTGCCCGATGATTAATGGTGCTCCTTAACGTTAAGAGGATATAATGAATCGTACGAAAAATGAAGATCACTTTAATATACGCCTCGCGTTCGCCGCGGTCCCCGCGTCGCCATGAATTACGAGTAGCCTGCATTTACCGTGATATATACCTCTCCGCCATTTATTGTGCCACGTTTCATCCCCGCGTGTTCGTATTTAATGCGAAAATACTTTTCGGCGGTGCCTTTCCATTTCTCGCTCCGAGGAGATTGTAAAAACTACTTATCCAACACACGAATTTTTTCGGATCACAACTTGAAAATTGAAATTATTCTGAAAACTGATAATTTGTCTAAAAAATATAAAGTTGTCAATAATTCATAATTTTTTTTAATATTTAACGTTAAACGATAATTAGTTTAATTAATAATAATAAATATTTAATTTAGAATAATTTAAATAGCAATTAATAATATAATATAAATTAAATTTTTAATTAATTCTTATTTAGATTGATATAAAGAATTACTATTTTTTTTTTTTTGTATACGTAAGTAGTAATGAATAGTAATAAATAGCAATTATAAATGTATAAAATTTTAATTAATTTTAACAAAATTTCATTAGAAGTGCCTTAAAAGTATCGCAATTTTTATTACTTCCATCACACATTCGATTAATTAAGTTAATTAGCTAAATTCAACGGAGTTTGAAACGCGCTGTAGAGCGGCATCGAAGTGCACGGGAGTGTGTAGACATCGAGGGCATCGAATGAAAGAAACCGGCGGATAGTGGATGGTGGATGGCGGAAGGTCACAGGTCGTTGAGTTGGAACGGCGAGAGAGAGGAAATGGAAACAGTGTGCATTGGGACGCCCGGATGGGTAATTCAATCAGCATTGACGCGCGAAAAACGCAAAATTTAACAACTGTCTATTAATCGAAAATGTGAAAAATGCGCATATGAAAAAGGCACTTACATTGGCACTTATTGACCATTGTTGATTAAAATTGATGAACGCGACGCCCGAATGCTCGACGCTCGGTGCCATCTAAATTATCGTTATTTCGTTCAACATTTTACGCTTATGGATGTTTTATGATATCAGCAGAGTACTCCGAATATAGATATACAATTATGTGTATTATGGTATATCCTCTGAAATGTGTCGAAAAATATCACGTGAAATCAATGTCGTAAATTCCGCGTTTCATGAGGTCTAAACGAGAAGTTTGCGCGCGGGAGATCAACCTGGGAGATGTATTTTTTAATTACGTCTGCTCCTACTTGCGAGATAAATGAGTCTCCGTGCAGCAGCAAAGTCTTATTAATTTCGAGAACACATTATCCTCCTCGCGTATACCCATAACAATAATATATAAAGATATATTTACCTCCCAATTGCTCGTACCATTTTTTTTTTATTTCCAAAACCGTCAACACGAATGATTAAAAATAAAACCGATATAGTTTGTGCCAAACTTATTTTTTAATAAATACGAAAATTGTTCCACTATAACAATGGAAATGCACAAAGGATCCATCGCTCTTCGTACGAGCGAACCGTCCCCGAAATTTCGAGTCCCGCGAGAGAATCAAACCGCTCTTATTGATTCGCTCGACGTCCTCGATTTTATCAGGGCACTCTATACTCTTCGCGGTTCTCTTGATTTGAGAAACTCAGATACGGCGAAAGGGCGCCGCCAAAGAAGTTTCGACCCCATTTCGGAAAAGCGCGATGCATCCAAACTATTCGCCCGCGCCGTTAGTATGCGTCTCTGTGCGCCTCGCCGCATCCGGCGACGCCGCATGCGGCATGCGGCATCCGGCCGGCCGGATGTTCGGATACAAACAAACTGCTAACTAACCCCTAGGACTGTCGGAATTATGATACATAGGCTGCGCATCCCTGTTACCCGCGGCCATTGCTTTAAACACGAATGTTTGCCGGTGACTCGGTTCGGATTAGGTTAGGATCACGTTGATTTAGGGTTAGGTTCCGGATAACATAACAATCTCAATGTATCTAACCATTTTTTCCAACTCTCACATATATCCATCATAATCCAAAATAATCCACAGAATTAGAATCCTATATATATAGAGAGAGAGAAGCTACGTCGAATTTCCACTATCACTTCTAATATAATTGCGGATCCCCATTGTTCCAATATCCTTATCTAATTGAAGCAGCCATGTTGTGACCACAGCTGTTTGCACTGCTCCAATATCATTAAACTCTGTCAGCGTGAAGTAAGAAAATAAGAAACGATATAAATTAAATGAGTGATTATGATTATGTGATTGTCTATTTACAACAATAATTATAATATTTTAATCTAATTTCAAATTTTTCTTTCTTTATTCGAATTCTTGTATCTAAATATAAATGTCAGCTGTGGTCACAATATGGCTGCTTCAATTAGGTAGCGGTATTACTAATCAGAAATTGCGACACTGATATCGCTTTTTTTATTATAATTTTAGACCTCTACACAGAATAAATTAAGTGATTACATCCCGATTATTGCAAAAGCTTTCAGAAAGGTTTTAAAATCACCTCTACATTTCACATTTTACAAGGTGTAACAATTCTGAAAGGATTTTGCAATGTGAAATGTTGCAACAGTTTCTAAAACCTTTCATATGCAGTAAATTTGAAAATATTGCAGAACTGCTGCTAGAAGGCGTTCATTTCTCGTATATATTGCGTATAAAATTTGTCGGATTCTTCATGATTAGAATCACTATAACTAAACACAAAAATACTATAATTATATCTTTTATCTGATACAAAACGTGATTGTGTCTTTACAACAAAGAAGCTCCGTAGAGCACAAAAACATTTCAGAGAAATCCCAGAAATGTTTTTTTCTAATGGAATTAAGATGTCTTATAAATATTATAAAATATTATAAAATGTTCACAAATCTTGCGTTTGAAATCTTATAAAAAAGTAACTAAAAGATTTGCAACTTTTCTGAAATATTATTTTTTTAAGGATAAGAATCGTGGATATTTTGCTATAATAAAGCTGTTTCAGAGCTGCTGTAGAAATATTTTTGAGATATTTCAATTCCACATTAGTGAAATATTTCTAATATTTCTAAATCTCTAAAACATTGATATGAGATTAGAAAAAGAAAGATAAGACAAATATAATTCTATTTTCAATTAAAACTGATACTTAAAAATAATGAAAACAAATTTTTTCAAAGCCTGCACACAATTCAAATCCAAGTTTATAGATGAGATAACTTGAGAGAAGCTTCGTGTTCCACGGCTGCGTCGCCTAACTTAACCTAAGCGTGAACACAAAGTGAATGAGTTAACGTTTTCAAAGAGTGAAAGACAAGTTCCATTAGTCGGAAAGTAAAGTCGGTGCTTGAATATGCTCACTTAGGTTCGCAATTAATATCGCATAATCGAATCACGGCGACTTGAGCGCTCCTAAATTCGGCGAATTGCCGTGAGTGCCTTCAAAGCGGTCGCCATTTTCGAGAGCTGATCCTCGTGGCGAGGCTGCTGTAACGATTTAATTGCATCCCACGGTGGGGTAGGTTAATTTCGTAAGAGGCCAGGTTAGGTTACATTCAGTTAGGTTCACTACGCGATAGCGGAGATCGTAGGACATATTGACGATTTCCAAGATGGCGGTGACTCGTTTCCTCGTCATGGCGACGGAGCAAGACTATTAATCTCGTAAAGCTCTTGCAGCTTTACGCCCTCGTCGATATTTATCGGAAATCGGCCAATTTGTGCTCGCCTAACAGCCACGTCGTCGTCCGTGTAAGCCTCTATGGTTCCATTAAGTCATCCAGATAAAATATTGACAGAATCTAACCTAATCTGACCGATACGTGGCGTCTAGAAACACGATAAATTGGCGATTGTTAAATGGCATTGTGATAATTATGGAAGTTACTTAAAATAATGAATTTAAAGCAAATTAGGTTACTGATATTAAAAATGGTAGATAAAATTTCAAGCGGTTTGAACCTCGAAGATTTTTATGACAAAGAATCAAAATGACAAAACATCAACAATTTCAAAAATTAAGAATTTTGCTGACTCTTTAAATTGTAACTTTGTTGATTAATTTCTAGATATATAATTATTTATTGATTTCGGAACAAAAGAAGAGTTTTCGGTACATTTTATGTCCTATTAATTTTTTACAAACACTACTTTATAAAAAAATATTTCTATTTTAATGTATTTCATAAGAATTCATCATGTATTTTCTTTTGATTCATAATTCAAAATGGCTTTAATGAATCAGCAGAAGCTTTAAATATCTAAAAGAACCACTAAAATATGTAGCCATATTTTTCGAGCTGTTGAAAATCAGTCTACTCTTAATAAAAGTTTGATCGAGTTGGTGGAACGATAACGTGTTACTTTGATGTAAAACTTTAATAAACTCTATTGCAGTAAGTGTTATGATACATATATGGAAGAATTAATCGCAAGATGTTTCAGATAAAATGATGTGATAATAACATTTGTTGCTTAAGGACTAAAGCTGATTTGATGAATAAATTATACCTAGAATTGTGACGTCTATGGTAAATTATTTTCAATGTCAATATATTTCACATTAAAAGAAATATAAAGTTTCAAGAAATTTAGAAAAAATTTTAAAAAGTTGATATATTATAATTAAAAAAAAAATTATATATTGATATAAGCCGAGTACATGTTAATAAACAACAACGAGAAACATGGCCAATTCTTCGGCAAGCAGAGTCTTGATTGCTAAATCTCTTTTATATGAAATAAATTCAATTATATTACCAACTACTACGTGCCACTTAGTTTAGCAGACTTTCAACGTAGTGGTTCTACAATAATTCGATAATCAAATATCTTGGTATCGACTAAAATCCCTTTTCAATTTTAAATTAATATAAGTTGGTAATATAATTATTTGAATTTATAAAAGATTTAGCAACCAAGACCCTGTTTTGCCGTGGAATTGGCCATGTTTCTCGTTGTTGTTAATTAAAAAAAAATTATAATTTCGAAAATGTTGGTAGATATGCCCGGAGAAAAATGCATTAAAATAAATTTACAAAAATAATATATTTTTCTAAAAAAGTCAATGTTCAATCTCAAAATTTAAAAGGTATAACAACGTCTTGAAGAGCCACAACTCCGAAATCTCAGAAATTAAACAATATTCCGAAAGATCGTAATTCCAACATATGAAAAATGAGACATTTCGAAAAATTATAACCATATCAAAATCGTCGAAATCGTCAAAATTCAAAAGGGTGTGCTTGAGAAGATGCTATTAGTAAAGTACGAAAACATTAACCAACATTGTTCGTGAGGCTAATAACATGATGATAGCAAGGCTCCATGAAATGTAGCATCATCGCATTATTGTTTTGCCTTTCATTCTTCTTTGAAAATAATAGTTTATAAGATAACATTTTTTGATTTATGATCGAAACTTTCATTATAAAAACACGTCTTGCGAAATCAAAATTCTTAATCTTTCACAATTATGTTACAAACAGATACTTCTTGACTTTTTCAGTTTCACACAATTACGTTCTCTTCCTGCGGCTCCTCTTAAAAACTTCTCTCTTCAGACGCGTTCGCGTTTTGAGTCCCGACGTTTACCGCCACTTCACCGCAGATGCTGTATCCGCCATTGCTACGTGATCGCGTCTTAAACGTGAATGAGCCCGGCGGACCAGAGCGAGTGCACGAGCGCGAAATTAACGCAAGGCGAATCGCGTTCTGCACGGAGAAACGACGTAACGATCCGCGTAACCTGCGGACCGATAATCGAATGCAGACGGCTTGATTAAATCACTCCCCCCCCCCTCCCTCCTTCCCCCCTCCTCCTCCCGTTCCTACGCCGCGAGAGCCCACCCCCCCCTCTCGTCTCTCCTCGTGCCTTACTTCACCCTATTAGCCTGTTTCATCCTCTCTCTGTTTCTTCACCGCGTTACATTTGTGGGTACACGACTGTCGTGTGTGTATGTAACGTGCGTTTCCGCAGAAGCGGATTGACACCCTTTCATCTTCGGATATCGAGTGGGACAAGTCACACACGAATCGAGATTAAATTAGAAAATTGAGAAAAATTAATAGCGCGACGAGACAAAAAAAGAAAAACCATGAAAAATAATTCAACGTAATGCGGTTTTTCTCGATGGCGCGGAATAAAATGTTGGAATAAAACC